ACATACGCAAAGGTAATTAGAGATATCTCTAATTCAGTTTCGACTAGTCACAATTATATTTTAAGATATCTGAATCGTACCTGCTCCTTATGGCAAGCCGTGTTAGCATTAAATACTCCTTGCTGTACTAATCATAATTTAGTTTTGTATGGCAAGCCGTTATAGCATTAAATACTCCTTGCTGTACTAGTCATAGTTTAGTTTTGACTAGTCAAAATTCCAATTCCAGACTAATTTAATTATCACTAGTAGAATTGTAATTTGAGATATCTCTAATTAGAATTATGCCTAGTACAAAATCAATTATAGATATCTTTAATTACAATTTCTACTAGTCAAAACTCTTTTGTAGATATCCGAAAATATTTTCCAATGGAAGTCAATGGTACAATATGACTAGTCGTAATAGCATTGTAGATGTCTTCAATGAATATAATGACTAGTCATAATCACATTGTAGATATCTAATTCCAATTACGACGAGTCAAAATTACAGAATAGATATCTGGAATTGGAATTTTGACTAGTCAAAACTAAATTGACTATTACAGCAAGGAGTATTTAATGCTAAAACGGCTTGCCATACGATTGTGTAGTCGTCAAGCGCAGTTGCTCTCCACCGACTGCGCTGATCAAAAGCATGATGGGAAACGACTGGCTGACGACACAGATTAATGCTCATTGGTTCAGACAACCGTGATGTTGCGTTCTCGTCTAAAATATTTTTTTTTTAATCTGATTTCATGTGATTATGTATTTAAACTATGCATGAATGTTCCCAAACACTATGACAGTGCGATCTCGGTGTGAGATATGTGATTGTTGTCATATTTTTAGATTCAGAAAACAACTCTGGGGGTTTAGAAGAAAGTATTGCAATTTTAGACACCACCTTAATTTCTTCTGCTTTCTTAAGTTTAGATAAATTACTACCAAATTTTCTAAAATATTTACTAATTTCAAACTTCAACAGCTCCCACTGGCAACAATATGAATCTAACACTAAAGCTCTTCTCCAGTACTGCCCAATCAATAATGTAATGTTCTTCTTAACATCTTCAAAAAGGAGAAGAGAATTGTTCAATTTCCAATAAGGAGATGAGCTGAAATCAAGGGATGCAGAAAGACAAATCCTAAGAGAGACAGCACTGTGATCTGTAAGAGGTGTAGCATGAATGCTGACTGATTTACAACTATTTGCTAGGCTTTGGGAAATAAGCCAGTAATCTATTCGGGACTGCTTAGAACGGTCCTTGCTACTCCACGTATAGAGTCTCTGCTGTGGATATATTTCTCTCCATATATCAACAACACAAAAACGCAACATGAAATTATTCAGAATTGGACTTATAGAAGCAGCTCTAGGGGGAAACCTATCTAAATCACTATTTAAAACCATATTGAAATCCCCACCTAAAATAAGAACAGCATTGGGGTATTTATTTAACCAGTACTGAATATTTTCACTGATCATGTCCATTAAAGTGGTATTTTCTATAGTAGAATTGTACCCATACACATTTAATAAAACTGAGATGGTCTGACCAAGTGAAACCACTAACAAGAGAAAATGACCCTTGGGATCACCGACAACGTGTAATGTGTCCGACTTACCTCCGACTTGAGCTTAATGCTCATTGGTTCAGACACCTGTGATGCTGCGGTTCTCTTCTAAAATATTTTTTTTTTTAATCTGATTTCATGTGATTATGTATTTAAACTATGCATGAATGTTCCCAAACACTATGACAGTGCGATCTCGGTGTGAGATATGTGATTGTTGTCATATTTCTATAAAAATCTAAAATACATGTTTGTATTAAAGTAAAAATGGATGATAAATACACCTTTCGTATGGAATTAAAGCACTTTGAGTGTCTTGTTCATCATATTTATTTTTATATAAAGGCAACAGAACTAAAAATTATATCATGTTAATCAGCAGCACAGCACATGAGTGAGAATAACACAATATCTGTCTTTGATCTCATAGGTATCTGCTCCACTTCGAGAGGTCAGAACTGTCCGTCTTGACTGCGCTTATTTCACTCCTCCCCTCACTGCAGCCGCCTACTCTCGCCTACATTTCAGGCAGAGGCGAGGCGAGGCGCGGCGCGGCGCATCTCAAACAAGCATACTAGTGCTTCAATGTGAAATGTGTTTTTATTTTTTTTTTGATACAAGCTTCGGTGTTGAACGCAACATCACTAGAAAACAGACGTTTTCTCATGCTGAGAGATAAGCAGATGTATATGTGTGAGACAATATATGATGTATGACACAGCGGATAAGAACAGCTCCTATTCTTATTTGAGCTCCATGAGATTTGGAATGTTACACCTAGGAACATTCTCTTGCCATTTATTGTCACTGCCAGGAACAATTTTTTAGTGGAAGGACAGAATTTAATGAATTTACTTCAAAAAGTAACATCAATACATTGTTATTATTATTTTTTTTGTTTTGTTTTGTTTTGTTTTAATATTTGTATTGTGTGGTAACCGTTTCTTAAAAGCAATAAGGTAGGCCTACTCGAGGCATGCTGTATTGAGAAAAATTCACGGCACAACACAGGCACTCGCTTAGCATTGTGCCAAACAACGTCCTTCAGCCGTGACTTAAAGGTGCAGTAGGACATCTTGGAAAATGCTAACTGATAGCATTTTATTTTGACCTTTATGAGGAGAATAAGAAACTAAACTAAGAAAATATATTGCGACAACTGGGAATATTGAGAATCATGAACATATGGGGTTTAAATACAACTAAAATTAATTTAGCCCAAAATGTACTTATTCTATTCACTAAAAGGAGAATAAGAAACTGGCTCTGATCTTCAATGGCACAGGACAGATTCTCTGATCTTTCTCTACTGCACACAGAGAACGATTTGACAGAATTTTTTTCAGAAGAGATTCAGAAGTCATCTACGCAACTCGGAAAAAGAGGTGGCTTTTCTGCATTTGGTATGTTTTTTTTTTACTCTTTGTACAGCCATCATTGTTAATTCTAAATGTATTTTTAATGTAGAATATATGTTATATAAATATATGAAATGTAGAACATATAAAAAAGTGCTCGTGACTCATCTGCCAGTTGGTACCAACCCCCCACGCATAAAAGTGAAACTCCGCCTATGCCTCAGATTCATTAAGTGCTATGTTTATGCATTGATAGTGCCATAGTTCTGAGTCCAAGTCCAAGGGTGTGAACAGTTCCTAGTAGAATGTCACGTGTTTTCATCTTGAAATTACAATAATTATGACATGTGAATGCAGCATTATTCACAGTAGAGCGCGGTCTCTCTTACCTTATTGTTTACTTAAAATTGTAATGGTTTTTTTATCGCAACTCCATTCTAGTTCTTTTAATTAACTTTTTTTTGTTTAAATTCTTCTTCTTGTGAATTATTAAAAAATAAAATGTTGTTATTGAGAAAGTGAAAAAGAATCCATCTTTCAAACCATTTCTTTACTTTAATCAGGAACACTTTGATATAATAATGATATATATTCTAGAGCTGTTGGATGTCATTCGCCCATGCGTGTAATGTCATATCTGTATTTTTACTACTTTAACCATATATTTTTATTGAAATAGTACCGACTGTGGACCATGCACAACAGCATCCTCCGGGGAATACAAAAACAAAACAAATGTGCGAACAAAGCAGCATCTACATGCAAAAAGGGAAAGCGTCAGAGTCCATAATAAAACCAGAATCAACATTGGCTTGACTTTTCCTGTGGGGCGAGAACTCCGAAATTTGTAAGGATTCAAAAGCAACCCAGAAATGTTTTTTTCTTGCTTAACAGGTAAGATAATTAATTGAAATGATAAATAGTCATTCAGCTCTCTAGCATCAGCGTAAGTTCAATGTAATGTTTGACCTTATCAGACTAGCAATCTTTATGTCCAGTGTTCACGACTTGTAATGTAAACTTTTGTTACGTCATTTAGCGATTTCTTAAGGGAAATTGGTTTTGGGCAATACAGATAGACCACGTAACAAGATACCTGCATTAATAACAATGCTTATGTCTTTCACATTAGAGTTTAACAATCTTGTAGCGAAAGGAATAAAATCTTATAGCGGTTGTATCTGAACCTCGGAAAGCAGTAACACCGATCTAAGTGGTTCGCATTCTGCATAGAGCACATGACAAGGGTCCATCAATTGGTCCATCAACAATCATTGTGTTTTGATTTAAAAACATCAATGTTTCCAATAAATCAAAACACAATGGCACCATGACATCTTTTTAGATTTCCATGTGTACTTTGGTGCCGCAAACGACCACATTTATTCGAGCAGAGCCAACGTACAACCAAAACAATGTTATTCTGCAAGATGAATGCAGTTTTATTTTTAACGGCTAGAGGACCAAAAGTCACAATGTGTAGCTTTAATATATCCAACCTGTGCCCGTGGGATGAATCCTGCCACAGGCAGCTCCAACCTCTGGGTAGAGTTTCAGTCTGTCGATTAACAGCATGACTGCTGACGGCTGGAAATCAGTGTCCCCATCCAGGGCCAAGATGTATGTGTTCTCCCTGTCTTTCTAAGGAGCATTGAAAAAAAAAACATACTGTAGTCAAATATTCTGGCTGATATTGTATTAATCTGTAGAAAGTCTAATAATAAGCTACTAACCTTCAATTTCTCCTTAAGGGAATCCAGTTCTTCAACTGCCTTAAGATTTTTGAAGTACTGTCTGTTAAGTCTCCAGCCAAGAATGTAATACAAGTACATTATCTGTGAACACAGATGATTAGTGAAGTTCTGGGTATAAAAAATTCTGTATCTGTGTTTTAACTGGATCTTTAATTAATCTTACCTGCGACCATCTTTTTTTGTGACGGATAAGTGTCTTGTCTTTGAGGTGAACCATCATCAAATTGTCTTTAGGGAGAGTGTATTCCAGTCGACCCCCATAAGGGGTGTTTATGATCTTCTGGCGTGGTAGTGCAGCCTTCTGCTTGAAAATACATGGATCCTCTTCACTGAAAATGCTAATGTATGTGAAGTGTTAGTAGATTAGTCTTGCACATAAGTTCTCAGAACACATAAACAGATATATCTAAAGAGGATTCTTACGTGTAAACTTCTTTAATTACATCCACAAGAATTTCAGCATATTCATTTGCATGCCTTCCATTATCAACATCCTTGAAAGCATCATCAAAATAAATATGGAATTCAAACGCAACATCGCGCTGTTCCTTGGTCTTGGGCCTGTATTTATCAAGCCTGGTAGTAAAAGAAATAATATTGCAATTAAAATCCAATTTAATTATTTACAAGTTGAGTAAGTGTATAGTCTGTGTTTACCTGAACATAGAGATGATTATCTTCATCATTTCATCGTAGGTCTCGTGCCACATCGTTGCACACAGAAACACTCTGATGGTTTCTTTTGCACTGAAGAGTACATTAAATATTTATGAAGTCATTTCATGTTAAGAAATCCAAAGAAAAAGTTGATATCCCTCAGGTTTTGGTTTTGGAAGAATCAGATGAGATATGTTTGAGTTCATATCAAAACCTTTTTGAAACAGGGTTTTATTGCAGACTTATTTTATTGCAGGTATTTTGGTAAACATGAGCACAGTTTGAGATGTTGAAACGCTTTTTAAACTCTGGAGGAGATACATGTGAAAGAACAGGGGTCTCTTTCTCAGATGAAACATCTCATTTTGCCCTCCTAATCTTACTAACGCCTTAGAGAAAGAACTATAACCTTAAACAGATCTCATTTGTCATTTTTAATGGGAACACATTTAATGTGTATCATGCTTTAACTTAGAGTGGTTGATTTAAAGGGATGCATTGATAATAAAAAAACTGACTCAAACCAATAACAACATAATTATGTTAGAGCTAATAACCAACATATGTAAACAATATGTATTATTATTAGTGTTTAAAGGAGTGTTTAAAGATAGACTTTAAGTGAGATTTAGATGATGACAAAGAAAGATGGTAATAAATGGTAATTTTACGTTTAGGTTTTTTATATTTTATATACAGTATGTAAATAATAAAATAAATAAAATAAAAATATAAATGTAAAAAATTAACATTCAACATTAAATATTCAATTTTGTTACGGATAAATAAAAAAGCTTTAATATTGGCTGATATATTACTGATATATGCAACCATACTTAGAAAGTTAAAACACTTACCACTTCTTCTCCTTGATTCTTTTTCTGATTTCAAAACGGGTGTTTAACAACATGGACTGTTCCAGAAATGCTCCTTCATACATGCGTCGCACAAACAGATCTTGGGTTCTTTCTATTCGATGGATCTTCAGGTACCAGATGTAAACTGTACTGAGCATGAGTCCCAGCCACCAGCTCAGAGCAGAGCAGCCCAAACAGGCCAGTCCTCCTGTCTTCTTGTGTACCATAATGTCTCTGGTGTTCAGAGTTCTTATAGCATCAGTCAACATCAAATGTAACCATTCGCCACTGGATTTTGGCTGAAAGGTCTCAAAAAAGGTAGAAGTTTGATTAGACTTTGGGAGCCTGACTGCAGTTGGAAACAAAAACACGGCCAAAACTGTGATCGAGGCCAGGTACATGGGCAGGACGAAGCTGCGGCGCAGGGCGTGCATCTTACAAGCCACAACCACAAACCAGCGGCACAAGGCAGAGGATGTCATCTGGATCACCACCAATGAAACAACAACTGTTTCGAAGACGAGTTTGACCGATTTCCATTCTCGACCTGACAGAGGAACATAAGCTCCAACCACAGCTGACGTAACCAGGATTCTCATCAAACTGGAGATGATGCAGACCACGTTACGGGACTGAGCGATGTCTCTGGAAATGTCCTCTAGAAATGATACAGCAAAGAGCGTGCTGTAGTTCTCCCACCAGTTCACAGAAACACAGATGGTCCCAACAATGGCAAGGCCAATTGATATATTTATCTCTAAGGAACTTTCGAATACCAAATAACTGATCGCAAAGAGCATGTAACCTGTGACGATTAACAAAATGGAGCATACGGGGAGCATTATAAGCCGCTTTCTCTCTTTGGCAAGGCACTCAGCGACCACCTGGAACACTGCGGACAGGATGCTCACGCTGTTTAGGATCATCACATTGGTGACAATGTCAAAATGTGGCATGGATACTATTGTTAGAACTGCTGCTCCCAGTGCTACCAGGAACTCAACACACAGAACCTAGAAGAAAGTTCAAATCAAAGTCAGAATGGTTATGGTTACACCCAGAAAAAACTGGGTGTAAAAACAATTTTCACTTAGAAATTGCTAGTACATATTACAAACATTTTTAAAGAAATGGCAAGTAACACACTGATTTAAAAAGCAGAAAAACATACTCTAATTATCTTTATTTACAACTTAAAAAAAAACATTAAAAATTAGTTTGCTTACCCAAAAAAGAGTTTTTTTCGAGGGCATGGTTGCACTCTTGAAAATGAACTTCCATGTGCTCTTTAGCAGAAGGAGAACACTTGGCCCAACCAGAACGAAGCCAATCCCAAGTAGGGCGGTCGGTTTTTGTTCTGAACATATAATCTCAGTTTGATTGTTCCCAAATGTTATCAATAGCAGAAATGATGTCTGTAAAGACAAAAAAGATCTTCAGTCTAACATTTTGTATAATATTAAATAGATAAGTTAAATGTTATCCCATCATCCATAAAATGATTAGCCAATGATTAGTAAAGCAACTCACTTTACTGAGAAGTGCAAGGACGAAGACAAGCATGCCAACAATGGCACACGAGAACCATTTCAAACACTGCACTCGTTTCTTTGGCATCTGCTCATCTTGAATGTATGGCACTTCTCTGCACAAATCCCAAGATGGCCTGTTTTGGAAGAAAATAAGGCATTAGCATATTATTGTAGTAAAAAATATTATATGCACACACAAATACACATATATATGATGAATAAATGTTAGCAGAAAGTAAATACTTACTTTAAATTTGGGGAAAATATATTAAAAATGTACAATTAAGTAAGATGTGTGAAGATAACATACAAATATCAATTGTATGTATATTCTTATTAAATGTTAACAGAAATAAGTACTTTAAAAAATACAACTAAGGAAATTAAACAATTAATCTTGAAATTAGGGTATTATAAAAAGTATTTAAGTACCTGAATTCATGTCTCTGTTGCTGTTCCATAGTGATGCTTGCAGAGCAGCAAAATCATTTGATTAATCATCTGTAAAATGGACGAGAGCCTTATAACCAGATGGGAGGGAGCACTACGCTATTATTCAAAATCGTTTCTATGTGAAGTGATGCTAATCAGATTTTTATTTTCATTTAGTTCCTCTTTATCTTTACACAGCAATCATCTACCTGTCCAAGTTCAGTTTAATGTCTCATTTCCTTTGATAATGAAAAGGGTTTCCTTAAATATAAGTGACTCACCAGATACACTATGTGGTCAAACAAATGTGGGCAATCCCTTCTAATTAACGGATTACACTAATAATGGGCATAATTCCAGAGAAGAAAAATCCTAATGCTATACGCTATACAGTGACATTCTAGGGAATTCTGTTCTTTCGCCTTAAAAAAGTAGTTTTGGCCCTTTTGTGTTGTTGCGTGACTTGCACATGCATAAATAAAATGGTGTCTGGTGAGAAAAAAAGCTGACCTACACTAAGTCCAGACCTAAACCCAACTGAGTGCATGCAAAGAATATAAACGTAACTGTAAATATGTAAGACATACAAGGAAGAAGGAAATAATTTTTTAAGGAGAAACCCCTTCATGATTTTGGGTTTCCATTAATATGCTGTAAGTAAAACATTCACTAGACAACAAGGAAATTGATATTTTGAAGAACAAGAAAATAATTATTTTCTGGACTTTTAGATCAGGACGACTATGATTCTGTCACTTTGCATAACTGCATGTTAGGACATGGTTCCAAAACATAACACACAAGACCCAGCAAAAACTTTTTAAGCTTTAAAAAGTAAAGTGCAATGTTTTGCTGAAGAATTTATCAGTGTGATTCAAACAGGTAACTCGAGTTTGTGAGTCTTTTTGTTCATAATTTTTGAGGCCTGTCTAAAATAGCCTCTCATATACAGTATGTGATCAATTTACATCATACTGTAGGTCAATGTCTCATATGAATACAAATAAACATAAAAAACAATTACAGTATACAAATTACAATATACAAGCAATAAATCTGGATAATGTAACAGAATAATGTTCCCTTTCAGTCGGTCACTCTCGACGTCACGTTGGTAATGACCGACCAATTGGGATCTAGCTTAGAGAGACCAATCCACTTTGAGTGTAAACTAAACGAGCCAATGCACATTGGCATGCAATGATTGCATCCAGCTGCCGCTGATCGCAGCGCAAGTATAATTAGGCAGCAGGTGCAACGCATACTCAGCTTTTCGCTTCAGAGACTAGCGATTATATCGTTCTGCTCATGACTTCTCTGCTACAGAGTGAAGACTCAACAAGTTCAGCGCGCTCTTGGGAAGCTCTGGTGTTGGCAGTACAGTGCTTCAGCGGCGGTGATTCTTCCCGTGTCGAGTGGGTTGGACACATCAGGCTGCACTATCCCCTGTTTGTGTTGCAGGCGGCCATCTCCCACTGGCACTTCGCAGCCAGTGGAGCTGCCCAGGGAACAGGCTGGACCCTCCCGTGGGGTACCACTTGTATCCTTCGGCGCTCCCCCCGACGATCGGATGTTGATCGCTGCATCGGAGGGTGAGCCAGACCTTTCTGGAGATGATGATCCGGCAGATGACGATCAACCTGAAGGACGCGTGCTTTCATGTTCCGATACTTCCACGCCACAGGCCATTCGGGAGACGAGCACATCAGTACAAGGTCCTGCCCTTTGAGCTGTCCCTGTTGCCTCGTGACTTCACGAAAGTCGCAGAGGCAGGTCTTGTTCCCCTGAGAGAGCGGGGCATTCGCATTCTCAACTACCTCGATGACTGGCTCATACTAGCTCAGTCTCAGGATCAGTTGTGCGAACACAGGGACTTGGTACTCACGCACCTCAGCCAGTTGGGCCTTCGGGTCAACTGGGAAAAGAGCAAACTCTCCCCGACGCAAAGGATCTGTTTTCTCGGTATGGAGTTGGATTCGGTCGAACAAACAGCACACCTCACGTAGGAACGTGCTCAGTCAGTGTTGAACTGCCTGGATATGTTTAAGAGCAGGACGGCAGTCCCACTGAAACAGTTTCAGAGGTTCCTGGGGCATATGGCAGCTGCAGCAGCAGTCACGCTGCTGGGGCTGCTTCATATGTGACTGCTTCAACACTGGCTTCATGGCCGAGTCACAAGGTGGGCGTGGCAACGCGGCACTCATCGGGTCCTAGTCACACCGGCCTGCCGCCAAACATTCACCCCGTGGTCAGACCTTGCATTTCTCCAGGCAGAAATGCCCCTGGAACAGGTCTCCAGGCATGCTGTGGTTTACACGGATGCCTCTACAACCGGCTGGGGGGCCACGCATGACGGGCATGCAGTGTCGGGGGTTTGGACAGGTCCCCAACTGCACTGGCACATCAACTGCCTAGAGTTGTTAGCAACCTTCACCCCGTGGTCAGATCTTGCGTTCCTCCGGGCAGGGGTGCCCCTAGAGCAGATCTCCAGGCATGCTGTGGTCTACACGGATGCCTCCACCACCGGGTGGGGTGCCACGTACAACGGGCATGCAGTCTCAGGGGTTTGGACGGGCCCGCAGCTGCATTGGCACATCAATTGCCTAGAGTTGTTAGCAGTGCGCCTTGCCTTGAACCGTCTCAAAGGGCGCTTATGAGGCAAGCACATACTGGTCCGCACAGACAACACTGTGACCGTTGCGTACATCAACCGACAAGGTGGTCTACGCTCCCGTCGCATGTCGCAACTCGTCCGCCACCTCCTCCTCTGGAGTCAAAAGCATCTGTGGTCGCTTCGTGCCATTCACATTACTGGTCTACACCCGGGCAGCCGACGTGTTGTCACAAGCTGCGCTCCCGGGAGAATGGAGACTCCATCCCCAGATGGTCCAGCTGATTTGGAGACATTTCGGAGCCGCTCAGGTAGATCTGTTTGCTTCTCCAGAGACCACTCACTGCCAGTTGTTTTTTTCCCTGACCGAGGGCACACTCGGCATGGACGCACTGGCACACAGCTGGCCACGGGGCCTGCGCAAGTATGTGTTTCCTCCAGTGAGCCTTCTCGCACAGACACTGTGCAAGATCAAGGAGGACGAGGAGCAGGTCCTGCTTGTGGCGCCCTACTGGCCCACTCGGACCTGGTTCCCAGAACTGATGCTCCTTGTGACAGCCCCTCCCTTGCAGATTCCTCTGAGGAAGGATCTACTTACTCAGAGATAAGGCACCCTTTGGCGCCCGCGTCCAGACCTCTGGAAACTTCATGTCTGGTCCCTGGACGGGACGCGGAGGTTCTAGGTGACCTACCCCAGGAGGTAGTTGACACCATCACTTCGGCGAGAGCACCATCTACGAGACATGCTTACGGCTTGAAGTGGAACCTGTTCGTCGAATGGTGCACTTCTCACTGAGAAGACACCCGATGATGCCCGATCAGAGTCGTGCTGTCCTTTTTGCAGCAGGGGTTGGAGTGAAGGCTGTCTTCCTCCACCCTTAAAATCTATGTGGCTGCAATTGCTGCCAATCCCGACTCCGTGGAAGGAAAGTCGGTAGGGAAGCATGACCTGGTCATCAGGTTCCTTAGGGGGGCGAGAAGGTTAAATCCTCCCCGGCCCCCCTCTATACCCTCTTGGGACCTGTCTCTGGTGCTCAGGGCCTATTTGAGCCTTTGCAGTCAGTTGAGCTGAAATTTCTATCAATGAAAACGCTGCTCCTGCTTGCACTGTCCTCTATCAAGAGGGTAGGGGACCTGCACCGGACACAAAGCTTCAGGACCTCAGATCAGCTCTTTGTCTGTTATGGAGGCCGGCAGAGGGGGAAGGCTGTCTCCAAGCAGAGGATGGCCCACTGGATAGTGGATGCCATCACCCTGGCTAATCAGGCACAGGGTGTGCCCTGCCCATTCAGGTTGCGAGCTCACTCTACTAGAAGTGTTACATCCTCCTGGGCTTTGACTCGTGGCACCTCGCTGACAGATATTTGTAGAGCTGCGGGCTGGGCGACCCCCAACACATTTGCTAGATTCTATAGCCTTCGTGTGGAGCCGGTATCCTCCTGTGTTCTCACCTCAAATGGGTAGAAGCACTCAGAGGCCCCGGTTAGTGTCTGCTTGCTATAACTGCTCCAGAGTGTCCGTACTGTAGACCCTGTTGAGCTCCTCCATCCCCTCTGCTGCCAGACGTGGCAGAACGTCCGGCGCCAGGCCCTCACTTGATGAATCCATGAGAACCGGTATAGGGCTGGGTTCCATATGTAGAGACCTAAGTGGATCCCATATGTGTAAAGTCCACGGTATAGCCTCAGAGTCCGTGTTTCCCCGGCAGACTCTCTGCCATTTTCCAAGAGGGTTACAAGCACCTCTAATCTTCCATATGCACCTAAACAGTTGTTCATATTATCAGCGTTTAGTTTACACTCGAAGTGGATTGGTCTCTCTAAGCGAGATCCCAATTTGTCGGTCATTACCGACGTGACGTCTCTGTTCCCTCCTTCAGGGAACGAGGGTTAAATACGTAACCGAGACGTTATGCAGCTTAATCATGCTAAATCTAATTTAACATTAAAATAACTTTTAAACTTGCACATACAGTAAATGACAAGTGGAGCAATGAAAATAATTTACATATAGGAAAAACCTGTATGACTCTCTTCTGTAGAACACAAAAAGTGATTATTTTTAAAGCTTTGTGAATGAATAAATCAAACGAATGAATCAGTTAATTGAGTTACAAAACTGGTTAATATTTGTTCAGATTTGGACTGATCAGCTTCTAATCACTTGCTCAAATCAATGATTAACAACTTTGGTCTGTTCGTGAGGTGAGTAAATGATGGCATAATTTTCAGTTTTGGGTGAACTATCCCTTTAATTCCAGTGATATCCAGTGACAAATCCTAATGCCATGGCATACAATGACATTCTAGAGAACCATTTAGGATGCACTATATCCTGGTGAGCTGATACCTTCATGTTCCATTGTCTAAAATGCCTACCCAGAAGAATGAAATTGTTATGAAGACTAACCCCTTTTAACAAGGCTTTGAAAGTACTGGTGAACAAGCACATATGCGGCGCATTGAGGTATCCACATACTTTTGGTCACATAGTGGATAATATCATGATCACTTACACCTTACTTTTTTTCATTTGTTTATGAATTTATGATGAAAAAATTTAAATTTGCTTAAAATGTACTGATGTGCCGTCAGAATGAGAGTCCAAAAAGCTGATAAAACATCACAATAATCTAAAGTAATCCACATGACTCCAGTCCATCTCGTGAAGTGAAAAGCTGTGTGTTTGTAAAAAACAAGTACATCAAGGCATTTTAACTTGACTAGCTGGAAGCAATGGTTTAAAGTTCTACATCCAAATTATGGACTTGTTTCTCAAAAATATGCCTTTTTTTTTTACTTGACAAGATGTTGATTGATGGACTGGAGTCGTGTGGATTCCTTGTGGATTATTGTGAGGTTTATATTAATAATTCTCTATATAAAACCATGTATGTGACAAATAAAAATCTTGAATCTTGAATATCAGCTGTTTGAACTCAATCACTGCAGGGGTGAACAAGTGATGTAATGCTACATTTCTTCAAATCTGTTCAGATGATGAAACAAACTCCTCTACATCACCTTAAGGTGAATACATTTTCAGCAAATTTTCAGTTTTGGATGAACTATTAATTTAATGCCCATGGTTTTGTGCTTAGCACATATGGGCTAATATTTGGTCTGTTATTCTAAATATACTGTTTATATAATACTTCACAATGGTAAACACCAGTTTTCAGATAAACGCATATATTTGGGCACAGAAGAAGAATGGTTACATAATTCTCGAAAAGTGAAAAGAGTGACCACAGGTCAGGCTGTACAGATTTTGAGAACCTTAAAATATTTAGATGAATTACACAAAATACAAACACACATAAAATGTAAAAAGTCACAAAGTCCTCTGATAAAGGAAAGCAGATTTTAAACAAACAAGGTGCCAAGTTGCAAAGGCCAGGTAAACATTTACAAAGGCATTAGAATGTCAACGTGTACATCAATCTTTTCTTGAAGAGCTGATAATGTCTTAAAATCTTCTTATTTCCTGTTTTACTTGAAGTTTGACAATATATTACATTTACATTACATACTTTAACAGTCCACTTCTCTGAAAAGTGTGTAAACTCCTCTCTTTGGCAGCTTAGTAAAAGTCTATAGCATTTCTCTTTCAACCGCCCATTTTTTGCTCATTTTCTCTTCCACTGAACGTGGAAGAGTCACTTAAGTCACTGAACGTCCCAGATCTCACAGAGGAGGGGGGTGAACTTGTGGTCGCTCATGCGCCATGACTCCAGCATTTCTGCGTGATGGTGGTTGAGGGTGCGAAGCTCAGTCAGACGACCGAGAAGCCGTGCAAAGTGCTGGGGCTCGTGGGGGTGCTGTAGTTTACAGACCTTCCTCAGCACCTCCAACATGGGCTCCTGCAGACGCTCCACTGCCTGCTGGTCCTTTACGTATGGTCTGTCTACGGATAGATAGAACAATTTCAGTCATATGAAACAAATTCATTTCACTGTGGCCTTCTGAAGCATAAAACAATGACAAAAATGTGCTTTTCTATTGTGACCCTATTAATCATTAACCATTTAACTTATTGGAACAGTACAAACTGATTACATAAGAACCAAACGTGGGTTTTAAATGGGTTAAAACATATCCATCATATGATGCTAATGCATTTACATTGATGGTTCCTTGGAACATGCCAGCCTTATAACTAATAGATTTTAAATGCAGTCGATGCCTTCATTAAGGATGTGAACTGTTTTTGTCATCATTATTTATATTCAAGAAAAGTCCTCCCCAGCTTACTGTCACTAAATGTATAGGTCTTTTGGAGTCGGAGACATACTGAACTGACACAAACTAGAGCTCATAATTGTGAACTAATTCAATCACTTCCTAATTATTAACATTTTTAAATGAATTATTTGTATTATTATTTTATGTTTTTGTTTGAAATAAACAGAACATCCATCCTTTGGTAAGAGTAGTAGTCACAATTTCAACCTGTAGCCGACTTATTTTGGGGATATCATATTCATAAATTAGTTTCCACAAAGAACCCAATTGTTCACTTTTAAGACGTTACTGTTGTGATGA